TCAGGTGTCAAGCTGGGTCAATTGGTAGGACTTTTGCCTTGGAGTTAGAACAACAACAACAAAATTACATTTGTATAGCACCTTTCATGTCGGGAATTATTGTTATTATAGAAGTTATTATAGAAGTTGTGGGTTCAAGCCCCACATTGCAACTTTGAACTCCAACAGTTGAGAGGAGCATTGCACTGTCAGCGGTGCCATCCTTTGGATGAGACCTTAAACTGTGGTTCCATCTGCCTGTTCAGGTGGACATTAAAGAATTCATGACACTATATGACAAAATGGAGTTTCTTCTGGTGTGCTGCCCAACAAGCCACCAGTTAAAAAAGAATGGAATTAATTAATGTCTGAAGGACATGGCTATGCACAAATTAGCTACTACACTCACCTCCAAATGCAGTCACTGCACTTTATATAAAAAGAACTGAAGCACTTAGACATACAACAGTATAATTGCTTCTCAGTTGCAAGATTATAAAAGTTTTTCCCTACTTACCAGGTTTTTGAAAAACACTTCAATTACTAAAGTAGTCTCACAAGTCAGGGGTAACATTGATATTGGAGAAAACAAAAGGCAAAGTAATGCAAATGATGGAAATCTGGTACAAACATAGAAGTCACTAGGAACACGCAGCAGGTCAGGTAACATCCATGGAGAAAGGAAAACGAGTTACCATTTTGACGAAAGGTCATAGACCTGAAACGTTAACTAATTTTCCTTTCTCCATGGATGCTACCTGACCTGCTGTGTGTTCCTAGCGACTTCTATATTAATATTGGAGATCATGTTTCATTAGGTGCTACTAAAATACAATAGATGGGATGCAAGTCCATCATCTGGGCTTAACCAAAGGTTTTCAAATGCATGGGAGAAACGTATTATGTGCTACTGACAAGACACTACATTACGGGCAGGACTGAGTGGAAGTGGTTTCATAAATGACCCTGGTTTATGGTTAGAAAAGTGTGACCACCAAATAATACATCCCATTTTAGATTTAAAATGAAGACTTACAAGCCAGTAGCTTTGTTTTAAAATGGACTTTCAGCAGGAAAATGGGAAGAGCAGGAGATGATGGAACATATGCGGTGTTCCTCAGGGTTCTGTCTTTGAGCATCTCCTCTTCACCAACCACATACTCACACGGTGATATCACCCACGGGCATTGGGGTCACTTCCACATGTACACGGATGGCACTCGCTCTCTATCCTTGACTCCTGCTGTTCTGACTAATTGCCTGTCAGACATCGAGGCTTCTATTAGTAATAACTCAGACTTATACATAACTTTACATAAGTCATATATGATACGACTTAAGCAAGTTTCACATAACTCATAATTTGTACAAGTCATATTACATGTATGATCCCAACTGATACAACTTAAGTGAGGTTTACTGTACTATTAAAAGCTGGTCCATCCACCTCAGACCTGGTAATAATTTAAATATCACTAAGGCCTGCAATTCTAAACTAGGTTTGCTAGAATTTCTTTTCTTAAAGTCTCATTTTAAGTATAATTTTTTAAAAATCATACAGTATTCCCAACTAAAATAATTTAAAAAGTTCTCTAAAGGTAGACATTCAAAGATAAACCAAATAGACTTTGAAATCTGCCAATCGACTAATAATAGGTTCCACTTACTGCTACCTAGGAATAAAACCCAAGTCTCTCGCTTGCGAGGCGAGTGCTCTAACCACTGAGCTACAGGACTCCAAATGGGTGTCACAACCTGGAAACTCAAAAGATTTACAGCAAAGTTAATGACTGCTGGAAATCCATTAAAGCAATAGTAACATTAAGAGTAAAATGAAAATTATGAATTTACAGCAGTGTTAAAAATCCTTACATTAATTTCATGTCAGGAGGCTCTTTACAGATATACGGTAAAGTGTAGTGACTATATTTTGTGGGGGAACACAACAGCCAAGTTGTGCAGAATAATGTCCTACAAACAGCCATGGTGTGAATGACCAACTTTATTTTGGGGACTGTTGGCCAGGATACTAAAGAAACTCTCTTTTCAAATAGTTCCATGGGATCGCGAACATCCACCTGAACAGAGAGATGGGGCCTTGGTTTAACATCTCATCAGAAAGACAGCACCTCTAACATTGCAGCACTCCCCAAGCACTGCACTGGAGTGTCTGATGAGACTTGAGTTTAATGCTCCAATGTGGAGCTTGAACGCACAACCTTCTGACTCATAGGCAAGACTGCTACCAACTGAGCCAAAATGACACACAATTTTGTTAAAACTAAACAGTTTCGGCACACTATCAACTGTCCTCCTGCCCTGTGTTCTATATCTACATATATACAACACAGATCAGGTAAATTCAAACTTATTTGATACTAGTCAAAACTGGTCAAAGAACAATTTGCACATTACTCCTCTTTGTTCTAATTTCTGGAATGATGGGGAAGCGAAGGGAAGGCAAAAATCGGATTTAATTGTTTAGCTTTTGAAATTAATTTTCTTTTCAAATAAATATTGTTTTTGAATACGTTATGTTCAAACAGTTGATGGTGTGCTAGAACTGTTATTTTTTTAAAAATCCATTCAAATTCCGATTAACAAAATTGTGCATCAGTTTGGCTCAGTTGGTAGAACTCCTGCCTCTGAGTCAGAAGATCATTGTTGCAGATCCAAAGCAGTCCACATTTAACAAGTTGATTTGTGCATTTGTGCAATAGCTTGGATTTCTTCTTGAACTATAAAATATATAGGAGCATGAGGCAATCTAATTTTGCACGTGCATTCTAGAAATGTATGTCAGAAAAAAAATAATTCTATACACCTTCAAAGATTACTGACATTTTCATTTTAGAATTTAAAATGAATTTATAATACATTTGTGCTAAGAATTTTCCATTTTCTCACTACTGAATGCAAGGTTGGTATTTAACAATCATTCCGCCTCGCCCCCTTCTTAGCCTCCTTTGAGTCCTGCCTCTTCAACCATGCCATCAGTCACCCCCTTCACCTCCCTTCCCTTCTCCCTCCCTGACCCCAGATCGGGCCTGATATGCTGTATACTGTCCAGTGCCTTAGGACGTCCTCCTGACATGAAAGGTGCTATACAAATACAATCTTGCTGTTTTTGTGGTTAATAAGATATGGTGTGATAATCTAGGCTGAATCAAATCCTACATCAAATGAATCAATGTGGTTTGAGCACTTGTTCACTGAAGATCAAGGTCATACCAATATTCACTGGAAATTAAAGGTCAAGCCTTGTTAATTAGCCTGGAATTCTTCTTGAACTATAAAATGGGAGTTAAAACGAGTCCAGCTTCAACTACCCTTCCCAGTAAACTGTTCCAATGGTTAATTAGCTTCTGGGTTAGCTTCCTGGTTTGTCCTGTAATTGCCCTTTGCGACCATAAACTGCATTTTCCCTGTACCTCTTCATCTCAACCCCACTCTATTTGTCTTTACATTTGGCCTAAAAACCTACCACTTCCACCATACTGTCATCTGCCCCTCCTCCCTTGCTTAAAGTCAAAAGCATTCTCTGTGAAGCAGAGATGTTATCCTACGTGAAGAACGCTATACAAATGCCAGTTATTGCTGTCCACTCTTTCTACTGTCTCAGTGCATCTAAAAATATTGCCCTTGGTTTACTTTTTCAATCCCATTTAAATTCTTGTTAAAGGTCATAGCCCAGCCATCCAGTATGAAGTTTAAAGGTAGCAGCAGAACTATCAATACATTTGATGGCACTTGTCCAGCTATGGGTGCCTTACCCACGAACATCTCCTTGAAGCTGTTCAACACTATTTAAGGTCTCCCGATCCACCGGTCACAGAAATGGAAAGGGTTAAGTGGGGGTGAAGTTAGTCAGGTCCACAGCAACCAAAGCACTGACAATGATTCTTCAGCCTCAATGTCTAACAAATGAAACTTGAAGACGTAGATACATGTTGTGTGAGTCAAAGCTACTGAGCAGTATTAATATGGAAAAATACTATGAAAGTTACCCGTGATTCATACTGTGAAAACTGCCCAGTTAAAGTCTTAACTGGAGCAGAGAATTTAAATAGGAATGCAATTTAGCTGCTCTACATGAGGATGCTTGTGCCGGATTTATACTGCTTTGGGCATGAATCCATCCTCAAAGTTCTTGCCTAATAGTGTTTAGATTTGACATTTACTAACGTACAAAAACACTTAACACATCCACAATTAACGACAAAAGCAAAGCTTGTTCATTTCAAAGAAATCAATACAGTAAAACAGTTTATTCAATACGAAGCACCTCAAACTAGAAAAAAATCCCCAAACCCCTCCTCAATCTTCCCATTTTCTCTTTAAATAAACACTAATTTTATATTTCTTAAACCTCCAGTTTTCACCATTATTTCTGTTACACTGCAGAGGGGAGGGGGGTGTGGCAGTCAAGTCCATGAGTCCATTTCAACATCACTCATTAGCCTAAATGTCGATCCTCTCCCACCATCACTCACACTATATTATTTCATACAAGTGAACTTTTCACTTTCATGGTAATTCTGTAATGGTTCCGAGAGTTAACAAATGGATTTCATTGACAAGAGCATTCAGTGTAGTTTTTAAATACACACCTGCTAGAAGTGTGTTTCAAGTCGGGAGGATGTCCCAAGGTGCTGGACAGTTCTTAACCGAGCTGGGAATGGGCACCAAAGAGGTGGGAGGCAAGAGAAAGATTGCCAAAAGCACAGTCAAAGAGCAAGGTCACGAGATGGACCTTGGAAGAGGCAGGGGAAGGGAAGGAGGGAAACAAAGGGATGGAGTTCCAGGTGGTGGAGGCAGATACACTGAAAGCCAGTCTGCCAATGGTAATATAATACAAGTAATATCAGATTTTTTTTAAATGCAGCCTTATCCATCAAAAAGCACACAGCACTTTACAGTAAAAGTGGAGTGACCTTTTGTGCAGAAAAGGAACTGCAGAAACCAAACTTTTTTTTCACTTCATTAAAACCACTAGTTCTGTTAGTCTTTCATCTACTCACCCTTTGTCTGTGGTCATTTTGACCTTGTTCATCTTGGATAGAATCTCTCAGTCACTTTGCCATCTCAAAAAAATCTGAAATAGAAACATTTTTTTTAAATTGAAAAAAAGCAAATTTAAAAATTAAACAGTTTAATGCAACATTGCAAACAGCCAGGTTAGATCCGAGAACTTTGAGAGCATTAGTTCAACTCAGACTGCTAAGTAAAGCATCACGCTGGCTCCAGGTTTGCTGGGCACTATATTTTTTAGTTAGCTCATCCCTATAGGCCAGCAATACTGTTTTACTATAGGTAGGCTTTATGGACTTGCCCAACAGATCAGGATAGGTCCACGAAAAGAAACTGAAGACACAAGTTCAGAAACATTGTGCAGTAAGTTTGATGTTACCACCAATGCTTTAATTCAGCCCACAATGTAAGCAGGGCGGAATCCAAGCATAAGTTGTCTCAGGCTACTCTCTGAACCACTTCTGATGGATCCTAATAGATAAAAAGGGCATGAAGAATTTGTGTAATAATATTATAATGCAACTCAATCTAAGTTACACAGCACTGGAAACCGTAACTGAGTGGAATAATATTCATACTATTTAGTATGTCCTGTGCCTCAGTGGTTAGAGCACTCGCCACGCAAATGAGAGACCTGGGTTCGATTTACAGCAGGATGAAACTTTGGACAAGTTTCTTTACTCCACACTCACAGTTACCTAGCAGTAAGTGGGAACCCAGTCGTCAGTCGATTAGCGGATCACTTTTCCGAGGGTAATAATTCCCTAAAAAAAATTGATCACTCAATCCATGACGGTTTGTGGGACACTAAAGTGCGCAATTAGCTGCCGCATTTCGCCCACAAAATATACAGTCAATTCACTTTACAGTACATTGTGAAGTACTTTGAGACTTCTCAAAGAAGTGATAAGGCGCTATACCAAATGCAAGGATTATTATTATTATTATTATGTCTGTCCCAGTATTCATTGTGATTGGTCCAGGAGATGGGATACTGATTTGGGAAAAAAAAGTTAAAGGGTGCAAGAAACATAGCACTGTTTCATATTTTCCAAATTAAAGGTCAGTTAATAGATTGTAAAGGGCTTTCTAGTCCTGCACATTTCCATGTTATCATGCATCTTCATTCCAGAAACAAATCTGTATTCAACTCAAGAGTATAATATAGGTTAAAAATTAATGTGAGTTGGGTAACTTGAAAATAAACTTCACATTTACTTCACCCAGAAATTGCAAGCGGCATGAACCAATGCTTCTCTGTTATGTCCTAATGCACCAATTTGACAAGTTTTCCAAAAGTTCACATCTACAACTGGTGCCTAGTTGACCTTTTAATCTTCAAAGCTTAAAAAGAACTCAGGCAGCCCACTGACCATCTCTTAAATTTCTCATGATAGAAAAGGGCCGATTATACCGTAGCTCTTTTGAATTTAGAATTTGTACTCACACAAAGACTTTTGCGAGCAGACCGCTGTACACACCCTGTAATACATTCACAGTGCTTCACTTTTTCCCACTCAGGTGATTGTAACAGGACTTGCAATCAGTCAATGTGATTCCTCTTTGCAGTTTTCAAAAATAGATTTTTTTTAAAAATTGATCATGTGAAAGTGTTGTGTGAACAGTCAGGAAAATGCTCCTACAAAAGTGCTTACAATCCTGCACTTTTCACAATGCACCTGGAGCGTTAATCTAAATTGGGAAAGTCCAATGCCTCTTGAGCAAGGAGTCATTGTTCAACTTATGAGGTACTTAGCCAAGTGAGGCAAGTACAAGGTGTTTTACTTACAAACAAGTTTGTTCTATGTTACACAAGCACCTCAATGACATATTAGTACTACCCAATTTATGCTCAGAATTATGCTCAGCAAAATTGAAGCCCATGGGATAAAAGGGAGAGTGGCAGCATGGATACAAAATTGGCTGGGAGACAGAAAACAGGGGGTAGTGGTGAATGGTTGTTTTTTCAGACTGGAGGAAAATATACAGTGGTATCTCCCAGGGGTCGGTATAAGGTCCATTGCACTTTTTTATGTGTGTGAATGACTTGGACTAGGGTATAATGAGCAACATTTTAAAGCTGGTAAATGACACAAAACTTGAGAATGTGGTACACAGTAGGGAGGAGGGTAGCAGACTGCAGGAGGACATAGACAGACTGGTGAAATGAGCAGACACATGGCAGATGAAGTTTAATGCAGAGAAGGGTGAGGTGATGCATTTTGGGAGAAAGAATGAGGAGAGGTAATATACAATAAATGGTACAGTTTTAATGGGGATTCAGGAGCAGAGACCTGGAGGTTCACATACACAGGTCTTTGAAGGTGGCAGGACAGCTCAATAGAGCTGTTAAAAAAGCATATGTGATCCTTGGCTTTAGAAAAAGAGGCTTAGAGTACAAAAGCAACAAAGTTCTGCTAAACCTTTAGAAGTCATTGGTTAGGCCTCAGCTGGAATATTGTGTTCAATTCTGGGCACCACACCTTAGGAAGGATATCAAGGCCTTGGAGAGGGTGCAAAAGAGATTTACCAGAATAGTACCAGGGATGAGGGACTTTAGTTATGTGGCAAGACTAGAGAAGTTGGGATAATTCTCCTTTGAGAAGAGAAGGTTAAGGGGAGATCTAATAAAGGTGTTCAAAATTATATGGGGCTTTGATAAGAGTAGATAGGGAGAAACTGTTTCCACTGGCAGGTGGGTAGGCACACAGATTTAAGATAATTGGCAAAAGAACAAGAGGGGGGATAGGAATTCTTTTTATATATACACGGAGAGTTGTTACAGTCTGGAATGCATTGCCTGAAAGGGCGATGGAAACCGATTCAATAACAACTTTCAAAAGGGAATTAGATAGGTACTTGAAAAGCAAATATTGTCCAGTTGCCTGGACAGTGAAATCCCACCACGTTTTATGTTCCCGTTTCTATTATTCATCTTTCCTTCGCAAATATAGCCTTTAGCTACCATTTTTCAAATATGTCTAAACACATAATTTTCCAGCAGACAATTAGGACATAGAAGGAATATGTTGACTAGTTTTAACTCAGTGTTAAGAAAGTATTCACACCACATCACATTTTTCTGATTATCTGTATTCTTTTTGGGTGTGATCATGGCACTGAAATCCTACATGGATAAGATTCTTTAGAAAGAAGTCAAACATAACTACTTGACGAGACTTCTGCAGTGCCTCTTTGATCAGTGTACAGTATCAGAAATCAACTGCAATAACAATGAAGGCCTTGGAATAACTAGGCTGAATGATTTTATTTGCATAAACAAAATATTGTACAGAAAACACTAATTCTCAGTCAGTGTGAAAAATCCTGACGTTCTTAATAAACAATGTACAAATAGTGTGCATTACTTGACCATAGCACACTATTGAGCTATTCCTTTGCAGCAGCAGTGAAATAAAACCCAATAATAATTCCCAAGCGAACTACCATAAACAATTACATTTGTATAACACCTTTCACGTCAGGAGGATGTCCCAAGGCACAGAACCAGTACCACAGCACGATTGACACACAATCTTACAATCACTTTACTAGTGTATGTAAATAACAATCTTGCAATCACTTTACGAGTGTATGTTAATATCAATCTTACAATCACTTTATAGTGTACTGAGCATTGGAAATTGAGGGGAACATTTAAGTTTGAAACAGATTACAGGCATACAGTGTTTTGCTTGGATCAATAATTCTATATAAAAATATAAGAAAGTGAAAAGCTATCTTATTGGAATCATGATTTTAAATCTGCTGCATATTTTCAGAAGTCATTAATATTGAGATGAAAGTGCCTGGTTATAAATAAGCAAGACTGTTTTATGATCGATCGCAACATGAGACTCGCAGAGTGCTATTGTCAATCACGTGCTCTTATTACCAAAAGAAAGCCAGTGAATTATTCATCCACTCTTCATCTGAAGAGAATCTTTCATTGCCAACGAGTTTGTGAGTTACATTGTATAATTGCTGTACCAATCTAAACAGTTGAGCTCCATGAAATTTCTAGCATCAACAGTGTTATTCAATAGGGTACACAAGGAAGTAAGCAATGCTCACCAGGAGTTCCTGCGGAGAGTTTAGTAAGAATGGTTGAAATGTGATGAAGTTGATCCAGGTATGTCTTTTTTTTAAAAAACTGGAACGTGGCTTTGGTTTAGGCAGTCTATCAATCATGAATACATCAAAGATTTGGAAGACATGGCAAGGTGGTCCTAGCAGGATAAGTGTCTCAAAACTTACCAGCGCTTCTTTTGTCTATTTGCAGAAAGCCACTTGATTTGAGCAGGCCACGCTATTACCCATCAATTTTCTTTGTACAACAGAAATTCTGAAAGCTATGGTTTGCTTACTAATTGTGCGTCTACTCTGTCAACTAGTTGGTTGAAACTTCTTGTGGTTAATAGAATGATTACAAACCTTTATTTGGTCTTTTAAAGTTTGTTGCCTTTAAAACAAACTTGATGCATTTCATAATTCATTGTTTTGCATATTCTAGATCCAAAGATCACTGGTATTTCAGAGATGTTGATTTTAATTTGTTTCTAGACACCCTCCTCCCATGGTAAATGATGTTCTGCCTTGACATTAAGACATTTAGCCACGTGCAAATCGCCAACAAAACATTAGAGATCTTCACTGCACCAGAAGGTGTACCTAAAAATTAGACAAATTCACTCCTGGCTTTTCTTCTGCATGCAATTCTGTGACCATTATTTTTGTAACATAGACCCCAATAACAACTAAAGGCCTTTCACAGATTTACAAACGTCTTTATGCCACTGTGATACTTATACAACATCGAGACATCTGCGCAAGTGCAGAACATTACTACGCCTGCTCACTGTGGCTTGCAGACTTCCCTATCGAATCAGAGCTCTTACACATGCGCGTAAAGGAAAATCAAACTTTGATCTGAACAGATTCAGAGCTAGGAAAACAACCTTAATATACACTTCTACAGTCCAACCCAATTTTAATATGGTGTTTTAAGTCTTATAACTGGTCAGCAAAATAAATGCCCATCTCTCCTGCTTCCAGTCATCTGAC